GTTTTTCATTTTGCATCTGTCACGAACGCTTTTTAGTTTTTTGGATATAAAAAACGGAAAAGCGTTTTTTAAAAGGTTTATTGGTCTCAATAAACCCTTTTCGATAGTTTATTAATCTACGACTATTTTTTACAGTATAGATGACAAAAGGAAGAGACATAAACTTAGTAATAAATACATATTCTAAGCCACAAGAGAGAGTGAACGTAGGGAGAGAAAAATAATAAGAAGAAAAAACCAAAACCATCCATCCAAAAAACATCCATGCATAGGTGGCAGAACGAATTGGGTCCGGTGTAGGCTCAAAATGTTTTCTCCCCGGGAAATAATTATAGATTTTTTATAATGGTTTTGCTTATTGGCTTTAATACCTGAGAAACGTTAAAGAAAAGAACCATACGAAATAAATCAATATACCTACTGTAGAAAGTAAAAATAAAAAATGAAAGGAAAAAAAGTACTAATCGTATACACCAAAGAAAGCTTTTCTACTTTGATTTTTTGAAGCAAAATAAGAGCAAATAGTGATCAAATTTACTGAGTCTAGTTTTTCTTTATGTATATATATGAGGGGAAAGTAACACAAAAAGAATTCTTTTTAGCAAATCTAGGGTAGACTCAAGCTTACCCTAGCCTACAGGCTCGGCCGCCGATGTATCCATGTGAGACCTAATCAATCAAGAAGTAACATGAGTAAAAAACATCAAATCGAAAATCTCTTAGATGATCGAATGAAATCAAGAATAAAGGTAAAAAATTTAAATAGATCAGCTCTATTCAACATCCTAACAGTTGAGTCACGTAATAAGATGTGCTTTGACGTGATGGAAACATTAATAAATGCTGATGGTTGCAGAAATAAGACCTTCCTAATGACATACAGAAAGGTTGTAGGTATTGCAAAATCAATTGTAATTCGAACGTTTTAAGTACGTCCAATGTTTTGAGAGAAGTATTTAGAGCATTCCATTAACCACAACCTTCACGTATAAACGTTTTCCCTAGGAGAACACGACCTCTTATTTTTAATGATAACGAGTTTTGAGATTTTACACTAATTGTACTTTTCTAAAACCATTTTATTCGAATTCAGCATCAAATTTTTAGTAAAAGTATATAGATTCGAGTGTATTTCATCACTGCCCTCTTCAAGTTTGACAAGCTTGACTAGGTCCAACTACGGGCTGAGTGACACTCTCTTCTGGCAGACCTATGTGGCGTCAAAAATTGAGTCGATAATACATATTTCAAAACTGATTCCGAATATATAATTTGTACTGCATAAAAGTTGAGTTCTGATGGAGAACCTTGTGAAATAGGAACAGAATTCTGGTTTTCCCCAGTAAAATCGATGTTTCTCAGCGAGGGAACAAAATTTTACAAAAGTCACCCATACTTTTGTTGACTGTCGATGGGCGAGTCGAATGATGGGTGAATATAGGAAAAGACTTTCCAAACAAAAGACTACATAGGTCTGCGAGAAGAGGATGTCACTCTGCCCCTCGTTGGACCTAGTCGAGCTTGACGAGGACGACAGTGATGAAATACACTCGAATCTACATACTTTTACTCAGTTTTTGATGCTGAGTCTGAATAAAATGGTTTCAGAAAAGTAGAATTAGTGTGAAGTGTTGAAAACTTGGATCTCCTTAAAACAGGTCAAATTTTCGTTTTTTAGGGGGTATGAATGGATAAGTGTTTTGGTTTTTTCTTCTTATTATCTTTCTCTCGCTAAGTAGTAAGTTTTTTGCCGCTAATTGCAGCTCTACAACCCAAGTAGTTATTGAGATATTCAAGTTTTAAGAAAAGTTGCAATTTTTTTGGTGGTGAATTAGGATTAATTAGCGTTTAATCTTGAGTGTGTTATTTTCTAACGGCTTGACGTAGAGACACGAAAATTTCAGCACAAATACAATTTAGATCAGACTAGAAAACAGTGCGAGTCCGGACTCTAGCGATCGTTTTATTACCAAGTTATAGATAGCGCTACCGCTTCTACTTCACCATTCATTATCTCGTGCGTAACCAGCTCAGTAAAGTTCGACCTTTTAAAGTAAATACTAGAAGAGTAGAGTGATAAAACGGCAAAAGAAAAACTTTGGACTTCCAAGAGGAACGCGAGATATTGAATTTTTAGTGAAATTTCGCAGTCTCAAATTTTCGTCAAACTAATGAGGAAATGTATCACGTTTTCTAAAATTTCTTTATTCTAGTCTCACTTTAGCAATAGAGAAAGGTGATATCTTGATGATATAAAACTGCAGACGAAATTTCGTCTGTAGTTCATCTGGCCGAACTTGTAGAACGTCTACAGATCATATTACCAAACGTAGAACCTTGACCTCGGTATCAACGATTATTTTGAGACTCCGTTATTTGGCAAAGTATTACTATGCCAAATAACGGAGTCTCAAAATAATCGTTGCTACCATAATAAAAGAAATTGCTTTCTCATTTTACTGTAAAAGTGATTTAAAAAGAAGCAAAAGTCTAAACAAATTTCTAAAGATAGATCGGTGAAAAACCGGTCGAAAATTGAAAATTTAAACGGATCGAGGCAGCCGTTAATGGCCAACACGATACCGATTTACCTATCTGGTTACAACTCTGATTCACAGTTGTACTCGAGAAAAAGTTTATTCTATTGGCCCAACAATAATAGTATAATGGGATGTTTTTTCATTTTTCCAAAAGATCTCGTCTTTCACCCATTCTGTTGGCCTAACAGATTTCGTCTAGAAAAAATCAGGAATATCGCTCTCGTTCCGAGTCAGAAAATAGAGGAATGAGCATGTTACAACGATTTAACATTCGCCTGGTTATACATGATAACCGTAACTAGTCCATTCCTAATTGGTGAAATAAATGGTTAAATAAAAATAAACTGTGATGGTTCCGCCACTGCACTATCATTTCTCTTTGAACATCTCATCCGACGAAGTCGTTACATTATTGTTACATTATTTCATTCATATACTTATTCAATTTGAAAATTTTTTTTTAAAGTAGCAGAGAAAGCAGATTTTCTCAAAAACAGAGAGTTTAGTCGGATGACATGTTTATGTGTAGGTTAGGCTTTGTATTGTAAAACTAAAGTTTTTACTCTTTTCTGTACAAAACTGATGTTGTCGAAATAAAAATCAATCAATCAATCATTTGTTGTGATGTTAGAAGAAGTTAGTGGTACACATCTAAATTTGTTTTTGTTGTCATTTTTTCTAAAATAACACTAGGACATTTAGCACCATCATTCGATATCTCTTGAATTTTCCATAATAAATCATACTGTATTTCATCTGTAACAATGGAATCTTGTTTATACGATGGATGAGATTGAACAAACTGACGCATCCATGTTGCATCCGTCAATAGTGTACCTTCAAACAAATAGTATAAAGCACATTTTAAATAATTAATTCTTTTGTTAATATGTAAAGATAAATAAGAAAAATAAATCTGCTTGATATGTACCATCAGCTCTTTTACGAATTAAATTGATATATTGATTGAGAGTATATCTTGTATCGACATCTATTTCTTCTAATTCATCAAGATAGTGTTCGACGAGTGGTATTAATCCAAAAAATTTAGTCTTTTATTAAAAACGAAAGAGAAATATTATAGAAAAAAAATGTTCACATGTATTAGAATCAATGACGTACCGATCCATTCATAATTTCATTTATTGACATCAGACAATATTCACAATTATCTGTTTGATCTTCAACAATTTCAGAAGATTTATTGAATCGTTGATCTATATGAAAAGAAAAGATGGTAAATATCGATTATGAAGAAATGTTATACTACTACCAGTCGATATCACTTTTTTGAAATAAAACTTTGCTGTATGAATAGCATCTCGCTTTTGAGCACGTTCCATATTTTCATCAACCTATTGATATAAAAGTTTGTATAAAATATGAACATTGGATAAAACTATTATTTTCATCTTTACTTTAGATATTGGTATTAGTGTTGATATATTATACGAGAGAATTGCTCGTGTTAACAAAGCAATAAATGTGGATAATGCTGCATTTTCAAAATCAGTCATTTGTAACTAAAATATACATAAATAAAAATATTATTCTTTTTTATTAAATGTATTGAAAAACTCACATCCATTGGACGAAATTCAATTCTCCATCCAATTTCATCTGTCGTCGGTGGCGGTTTGAAACGCATTGTATTCCATACTAATGAGTTGATATTCTACAAATGAGAATCGTTGGAATAAGAAAGAGTGTACTGTACAGAATTTAGAATGAATTCGGTATGTACCTAACTGTTTTTTTCGAACATTCAAAGAAATGTTTATAATGCGGTTATTAAGAATCACTTTGATTTGCGTAGTATCTTATTTGATAGAGAAATGTTTGGTTTAGCTATTTGCAAGAAATAAAAAAATTAAAGAATAAAAGAGCGAACGCATCGCTAAATAACGACCAGTCACATAACTGATGGCTCCAGATATTATGAATAGTCATGGTATTTTAGATTGCTCATATTTGTGCCACAATTAAGTTTTTCTTCTTTAATCTAGTACTTAGAGAAAACATTTTTCTACAAATTGGGTGTGATCAGCTAATTCTGTTACTGCAAGGGAAATTCGTGACGTTTCTTCTTCATTTTGTTGTGTCGATATATACCAAGTCGAACCATGTAGAGAGTCGTGAGACGTATTAAATTGAAGAGAAAAGCCTTGTGAACATTTTATGACGTATTTGAACTCTAGAAAATATCTCTATCTGAAAGTCTTCATAAAACATTGAGTACCACTTTTTGATTCTGAAGAATTTTAATTTTTGAAAACTAGTACTCAATGCTTTATTAAGACCTTCAAATAGAGACATTTTCTAGAGTTCAGATACGTCTTAAAATGTTCACAAGGCTTTTCTCTTCAGTTTAAGACGTCTCATGACTCTCTGTATGATTCGGTCTGGTATATATCGACACAACAAGATGAAGAAAAAACGTCACAGAATTCCCTCGCAGTATCAGAGTTAACTGGCCACATCGAAATGCGACGTTTTGCAGCTTGGAAGGATTCTGAACCATCGGGTTATACCAGTTTTCGTGGATGCTGTTGCGTCAGTTATATAACTGGTGCATGTTCGGTGTGAGTAGAGCGCATTAACTTAAGTTCTTAATAGGAGTTGATATTAAGAACCTCTGGTTAAGACCGATTACCATGCTACCATTAGAGCTCTGGAAAAGATTTGAAAAGTATGAATTTGGGTACAATCTGCATTCGAAAACTGTTTTGCTGGTCTGTGTCTATACCGGTTGGATCGATAATCTAAAATCTGAAGTTGCTCTAATTGCTTTACAATATCATTTGATATCCGACGCTTACTCTCCTATTTATTAATCTTGTTCGATATGGCTCTATCTCTGTTCAACACAGTAGTAATACAACTATTTGCAAGCATATTACAAGTGGAAAAACAACTTTGTTTGAACACACATAAATCTATGCAGAAACTTTTTAGTTTAGGTTATCATGAGGCGTCTCCGAATGTCACAAGTCTTTTTGGTGCTTTCTCGTGGTATCCTACCTTTGTGTAAAATAAATCTATCTATCTATGCCGTGTACTCGTGGGTACGAGTAGGAATATGAAAATTTAAACGACATGGCTCGCACAGTGGGCATTTTTCTATAGAGCAGGCGGATATATGCTGTAGGAGTGGTATGAAAGCCTATAAACACGTTCTTCTATAGGTTTTCGAATATGCTCTTTCTAATGATGAGATTTTCAGTACTCAAAAGTAATTCCTTGTGGATTTTCTGAACACCGGATCTCTGGAAAACCCATAAAAAATATTTTTGCATTTCGAGAACCTCACTATTCGAAAGATCATATTCGAAAACCTATAAAAAATGTGTTTATAGACTTGTGTACTATTGCTAAAATAAATAT